TCTCAGGCTCCGAGTAAAGGTTGGCAGTATGGCCAGTAGACAGAAAAAGATAAGAGATTGAGAGAGAGAGAGAGAGGATTAAAATACTTAATTAAAATACTTAATTAAATCTCCAGGTTCTCCGAACAAGTACTTTAACTCTCTCAACAATTGTAAAATCAGGCTCTAACCTTATAGCCAAAAAAAAAAAAAAAAAAACAACTATAGCCAAAAAAAAAAAAAAAAAAGCGACTATTCATTCTGCAATCTCTCATGGTATGTAATTTTAGGAGAGAGGGACTGAGGTGGATTTAATCTGTTACTCCTCCTCAGATAATTTTTTTAAAAAGAAATTTTTTAAGAGCATGCCACAGGTGTAATGAGAAAAAAATACTGAGAAGTAGAAAGAATATTCTGTATTTCAATGTCCAAAGCATGAAAGGAGTGTAATAAAAGAAAACCAGGGACAGGCAGTACTCAAGAAAGCTGCAGATGAAAAGAAAATGGTGGCGATGAAAGGTACTAAGAGATTTTGTTGTTTTCCTTCTCCACCAACCTCACAAAACTTAATTTTTTGCTTCTTATTTTTCAGAACCATGATTTCAGGTTTGGCTATAAAATAAACTGCTTACTTTGCCACACGAGCCCACATTCAGCTCCCTACTGAAGCATGATTCAGAATAAAACGGTGGTCTTGATATTGCTATTTTTAAAAACATCATAAAATTATCCATGCCTCTAAATCCAATTCACATAACTCCATCAAAAGCAGTCACAGTACACCAAGTCATAAGATAAAATAATTCTTTGTTTTAAATGCATATTTCTACACCAGATGAGAAAAATCACTGTAGGGAGGAAAAACACTTAAAAAATTAAATATGCCAGCAAATTCAACATATTATTTCAAAGTTTATAGCTTAAAGAGTGGACGTCTGATGAGGTAAAATTAGCTCTAGCAAGAAAGCACGGAAAAGTGATCCTCTGCTTGGAAGGCTACAAGCTTCTTTGAAAAAACTTCTCTCTGATGTTAACCTCTGGTCAAGCTGAGAGAGATATTCTGTAGATGAGCAAAAAGGGACTTGTATTGCTACATCCTCTAGATGCTTCCAAATGGGGTGCCACTCAGTCCGGCATTTGGTCCTCAGGTTCTGATTACTGGGGCCCATACAAAACTTTCCAGGTATTTGCTGACCACAGAAAAAGGATGCTGCTTCTAAACATTTCGGCCCTCAAAGACTCTGGACAGAAAGTATCTGTATGTCTTGGTTCCAAAGCAAATTTCTACATTATAAAATAGACAAATTGTTTCTTATAAGATAGTCACCAAAAAACTGCTTTATAAGATGGAAAGGGATAGGAGATGGAAAGGAGAATAAATAAAATGCTATATTGGGGGGGGCATGAATAGAGAAAGGCAGGATTTGTCATTCTTAAAGCATTGCTAAAATGCTGGAACAAACTACCAAGAGAAAAATTAAATTGTAATTTTTACATATGGGTAATTTCTATAAACCTCAGCTCTAATGCATAGGCTCCCTGGAGGCAGCAACTTCCAAGAATAAATTTTCGCCATATTGTTGTGGTGTTTGATATTAGAGGTCCTATGTTTGTCCAGTGGGCTAGTGGTCAATTAACAAGGTTGTAGTCTTGTTTGAGCTCGGAGAGAGAAGACAGGCCCATAAAATATCATCAGGGGTTGCACACAACCCTATCATTTTTATTCCTTCTGTTCAAACCACATGCCAAATTAAATTTAAAAAGGGCCACCTTGGGCCTCTCTCCTCTCTGCAGAAACTTCGTAGATGTCTAAAAACATAGAGCTACTGCAGAAATTACTGAAATTTTTTTTAAAAAATCTTCACACTGTTAACTAATGTGCATTGAAAGCACAAAATGGAAAAGGGAAGAACCAAACAGGCTATTGGAAGCCTCTAAAATTTTGAGATTTTTTTAAAAGCAAAGTTGGCACATAGTACACGCAATACTGAGGAGGAAATTTTGGCTTTGGCTTAAAAATATCCCATGACTTTCACCAAACTGTGACTCTGAAAAGTGAGGGAAAGAAAGAGAAAGTAAGAAAATACAGCAACTTTTAAATTGGAATTCATTGCATTCTAATGAATTGACTTATTTTCGATAACTGATTCAAGGATCTTCTATATACTAGAAACGGAAATTCTTAGTCAGCCCAATAGATAGGACCATCAGTCTTCCCTTTCACTAGACTCCTTATAACCAGTGCAGCAATCACAAACCAGGAAAGATTAAATAATCTTGCATTTTTTGGTACTGCTAAAATCTCACCAGTTGAAGTCCTCAATTTAAGCAGAATGTCAAGGGGAGATCAGGGTATGATGGTTTCTTAGTAAGTTTTTCCACTAAGACCTGAGATAAAATTACCAAGCTTGCTTAACACCTGATAGGAAGAACTTTTTGCTCTCTATAAACACTCCCTCACATAGTACACGCAATACTGAGGAGGAAATTTTGGCTTTGGCTTAAAAATATCCCATGACTTTCACCAAACTGTGACTCTGAAAAGTGAGGGAAAGAAAGAGAAAGTAAGAAAATACAGCAACTTTTAAATTGGAATTCATTGCAATCTAATGAATTGACTTATTTTCGATAACTGATTCAAGGATCTTCTATATACTAGAAACGGAAATTCTTAGTCAGCCCAATAGATAGGACCATCAGTCTTCCCTTTCACTAGACTCCTTATAACCAGTGCAGCAATCACAAACCAGGAAAGATTAAATAATCTTGCATTTTTTGGTACTGCTAAAATCTCACCAGTTGAAGTCCTCAATTTAAGCAGAATGTCAAGGGGAGATCAGGGTATGATGGTTTCTTAGTAAGTTTTTCCACTAAGACCTGAGATAAAATTACCAAGCTTGCTTAACACCTGATAGGAAGAACTTTTTGCTCTCTATAAACACTCCCTGAAAATTGCACATGGTCTTCAAAGACACATATCCCTTAAATATGTGAAACCGTTGGTTTATCCTCATTACATGAGTAATTTATGGGGAAGGTATGCTGAAGACGGATGGTTCCAGTGACTGGGTTTAACATCATGGTAGGTCAGGAAGCACCTCAGACATTCTCCTCCCCCAAGAAAAGTTTACGGCAAAAGGAGTACTTCATTCTCAAGTGACATCCCTAGAAAAAAATTAACCCGACCAAGTAAATCTTCTCATAAAACTAAAAAGACTTTTTATCTCTCAGTATAATCCCATTGCAGAAATAAACACTATAAATTAAATGGAAAAGATTTTTGAGGATATAAAATGAGCCTTAAGCTAAACCTTAGAAACTTAATAGAATGTATATCCTAGTAAAGATCTGTTTCTTCAATAGCCCAGAGAGTAATATTTTATAAAATCTTATCCTCCTTTCTTTTTGGACACTGAACTATCAACTTTCCAAGAACTAAAGCATTACTAAAAGAAGGCAAATTGTTGGACTTGAGTCACCAAATATATTGAGACTAACAAGAAAATTGTGGACAAGGCATAAATAAAATAAAATAACTATAAAACTCAGAATGAATGCATGAGGACATCAGTACCCAGTCTATCAACTGGAGAAATTAATTCTCTGGTAAATACTCCCTTCTTCCTTAGATAAAGTAATATCTTAATTTGCAGGGAGAAAAAAAGTCTTCGATGTGTTCTCCAATAAGCTCAACAACTGTGTTCTGGAAGCATTTTTATTAAGCAAGATGAAACTGCCTGCCACTTTTTTCTTGTCCTAATTAAAACTCTGGGGCAAGATTAGGCTCATAGGTCACTAACAGTTCTTACTCAATTTGTTAAAGCTAACAGCTCATGTTTTAAAATACAAATATGTCTTTAAAATGATGTAATATAATAAAAAGTCTCCTCAATGTAGATTTAGGAGCTTGCTGGAACAGCAGGAAATGGTTTATAAAAATGTTTTTTCTCAGGAGCTTGCTGAAATAGCAGGAAATGGTTTATAAAAATGTTTTTTCTAATACTTTTATAAGTCAGACTTATAAAACCAAACTTAAGCCTGGCTAAACTTTTCATTACACAAATATTTTCCTCTTATAGATCTGATACAAACCCAAAATAGGGAGCTGTGGATCTGTTATGATCCACAGAGGGAAAACAAACAAACAAACAAAACACACACACACACACACACAAAAAAAATAGAAAACCGATCTGCTATAATCCACAGAGAAAAAAGAAAAACAAAGAAACAAAAAAAACTTGACAAGAGAAAACCGAACCAGTAACTACTTCAGACACATAATCAGCGCTGAGAAACCTGTGCCGGCAAATTCTGCCCAGCCTTTTTCAGGACAGTTGCCCCTCTGCCTATTCCTAATGTGCCTGGTTGGATTCTCTCCACTGACCTCAAATCCTGAAGCAAGTCTCAAACTGCTTCCATTGAAGGAAGTTCACCCCTTCCCCGGCAGCCCTCAAACCCAAAGACCACTTTCTTTGCCTAGTCCAGAATTCCATTTTCTATCTTTGGAGGAGGCGAGGTGAGCTGAAAAACACTTGGGCTGGTCTTTTTGTTTCTGATCTGCGGAGACAGGCCACAGACTGGATGGTAAATCCTAACAGTTCCCAAAAGGAAAATTTGCCACTATTTCTAAAGGACATTCTCAGACTTTGGGGAAGGCAGGTGATTAAGAGTGGAGGACTTAAGGGCTTTATATGCAGTCGTGGCCCTGCTGGAATTGGATTTAAGTTTTTAGTACTGGCAGTGAGGATTTTAAGAGACTGGAGGAGATGTCCAGGAATCTGGAAAAGCATGAACCAGCACCTAAGCAGAGCAGCAAGGATCTGGGGCTCTTACATGAAAACTGTGGCAGGCCAAGGAGCTCCCTTTCCCCCAGGGCTCCAGATTTACAGAAGTTCTTCCTATGGAACAACCCTGCAGAACTTGCCAGTGTTCAGGTGGGGCAGAGGGGTTAGACACCACAGAACACAGACCTACTAAAGGGCTTGAGCAGAAAGTCAGAATTTCTAGGAAAAACTTACCGTGAATCTCCATAAGGTCCGGAGTAGTTCTCCATCCAGGGGCCCATCTCGCTTTTGACACAACTGGGACCAGGATAGGGCATTCTGTTCACCATGTTGCCACCACTGGGATACCAAACATCTGGTGTGGGGAAGTCACCTTCCTGGCCAGTTAACCCCTGAGGTGGCCTAGCATAGCCATAGGGGGCTACAGCCCCAGCCTCACCTGAGCCACTGCCTCCAACCCCACCACAGGGTCCATACAGTTGGCCTTCTTCAGTTGTGAAGAGTGTATGCCAGGAAGAGGAAACAGTGGCTGAGGGGGAACTGGAGCTGGGTCCAGAGGCTGCACCCCCACCGTGCAGGCTCCCCAGGTCCCCATAGCGGCATTGGGTTGCCGACACCCAGGAGCTACCATAGTCCAGTGGGTTCTCCAGCTTGATTCTGGCATGAGGATGAGGAGGTGGCAGTGGGGGAGGTGGCCCGGCCAGAGCCAGGGGAAAGTTGTAGTAGTCTCGACTCTGGTATGCAGCTCCCTCTTCCAGTGGTCCGGACTTGTAGAGAGATAAGGTGGACGGCAGTCCAAGTGTCCCAGAGCTCCCTGCTTCTCCGCTTCCAGAGCAGCCCAAGCTCTCACTGTCTAGCCCTTTGGCATAACCTCCTTTGAAAGGGGAATACTCAGCAGTCTCTTCAGTGACCTTTCCTGGGCTGTTGTCTAGCAGAGAACCTTTGCATTCGGCCAGTGGGGCACCAGCCGTGGGACGCACAGCGGGTGGGCCTCCCAGGAGCGGGGCATACATGCAATCTCCCCGAAGCTGTTCCCCAGGACTGAGATGCTCCAATGCCTCCACACCCAAGCCCATGGACACCGACACTGCCTTACACAACTCCTTGGCGTTGTCAGAGATGGTTGAAGTGCCCCCAAGGTAACTGTCCTTTGACGAAGTGAGAGCCCCAGAGGCCTCCCTCACTCTCCCACTGCTGCTGCTTTCGGATACTGCCTCCTGATGCTGCTGCTGCAGCTGAGGCTGTTGTGACGGAGGCAGTGGCGGCGCCGGAGGCAGTGGCGGCGGCGGCTGCTGCTGAAGGAGTTGCATGGTGCCAGTCTCGCTCAGGATGTCTTTAAGGTCGGCGGAACAGCTGCTTAAGCTTGGGAAAGTGGGACCCAGCAAGGACAACGTAGATGGGGCAGCTGAGTCATCCTCGTCTGGAGGTGCTGGTGGTTGCTGAGGCAGCCCCTTGCCAGCGGCCTCGGCGGACCCAGGCTCTGGGACACAGCTGCTTTCCGGGTGACCCTCGGGAGCTGACTGCTGTTGTGAAAGCTGCTGTTCCTCATCCAGGGCCAGGTAGCCTGTGGGTCCTCTGCTCGGAGCTTGGGGCGAGTCATCGTTACCCCGCTGCTGCCGGGGGCTGGTTTCCTGCTGCTGCTGCTGTAAAGGAGCGCAGGGAGGTGCTATGCTCGCAGCTTCAGGGTGCCGGGGGACCGGGTTCTGGATCACTTCGCGCACGCTCTGGAACAGATTCTGGAAAGCTCCTCGATAGGTCTTGGACGGTGGCCGGGGGTAGACCCTCCCCAGCCCAAACTGCACCTCCATCCTTGAGCCTGGCTAAATCGTCCACCTAATTTCCTTACTCTGTCTCCCTTTTTCTTAGAATATTTCAACAGGCAGTGACGATGCGGTAGAAGCTGCTGTTAGCAACCTACCTGCGGGAAGCTCCAGGGAAAGAAACTTGTAGGAGCAACCACGCAAGAAGCACTCTGACAGCCTCAAAGTCTCATGCAGAGGAAGACACGCGCTGGACACGGTCCCTGCACGGTTCACAGTCTATTCCCAAATACTTGAAGGGTGGATTCCAAAACTGCTCAAATCAAAGTGGAAAATAAGGGAGGAATCCTCCGCCTTCCAAACTCAGTGTCCACTAAAGCAGGTGCAAATAGGAACTGGGTTATTTTCTGTTTTTATTTTTACTTTCTCGTTTCCTTTTTTGTCTGTTTACTACTAAAGCCCTGACTGCCTCATCTTTTGATCTCTAGCTCCTCACTCGGGGTGGGGGTAGGGGTGGGGGTAGGGTGGGGGGGGGCGAGGAGGAGGTGTAGAAGGAGCGGGAAGATCAAGGAGGCCCTCCCTGCGTGCTTCCTAACCAGCCAGATCCCGGTGGCAGTGCTGGAGTCCTTCCCCAGTCTCCCTGGCTCCCAAAAGCCTTCTTTGCAATGTGCAGCTAGCTTCTCCGCTCGCAGCCAAAGGGAGGTTACCTCTCTGCAAACTCAGGCTGGCT